ATCAAAGTCAGTTTTTTTTAAATTACAACCCTTTATTTTTGTTGCATTTTTGGATAGCTACCGTTGTCCTGATTACATTGATGTGCCACATTTGGAGGGTTATATGGGAAAATTTTTGAGAAAAGCAGGTTTTTGCCGCCAAATGAGATTTTGGTATTTTGTCAAACTTAAACACAATCTATGAGTTACTTAATGTTTTTTGGGAAACCAATCAGAGCAGTTGCTCAAAGTGTCCACCGTAAACTATTTGGCAGTGGGCCAGCCGGTCCACATACGAGGGTTGTACGTTTGCCAGTACCGCTGGATTGATCATCTGGATCTCGGCTTGAATGCACATGTGGTGTCTTAGGTCGTCCAAATTTTGAGGCCTGTTTACATAGACGCGGTTTTTAAGATGTCCCCATAAAAAGAAGTAAAGGGATCAAATCGGGCGATCGCGCTGGCCACTCGATTTGACCCCTTCGACCTATCCAGAGATTGGGTAAGACCTGATTTAAATAATCCCTTAGTAGCAATAAGTTCGTCAAAATACCAAAATCTCAATCTGCGGCAAAAACCTGCTGTTCCCAAAAATTTCCTTATGTACCTAACCCTCCACATGTAGCATATCAATGTACTCAGGACAACGGTAGCTATCAAAAAATGCAACAAAAATAAAGGGTTGTAATTTAAGAAAACCTTACTTTGATGCGCTGCCACGCGGCAGATTTGGGAACAACTACATAGGCTAAAATATTGCTAGAAAAATAACAAAGTTGACTTGTTTCGGCGTTTTTAAAAAAAAATTACCGTTTTCAAAATAATCTCATGTTCCGGGACTTTACGGACACACTGTATATGAAAAAATAAATTCAGAAGGTAAACATACCTATAACAAAGACATAATTAAAAAATAACATTTTTTTAAAGATAAAATTACTACCATGTTAATTATATCAAATATTTTTGCTGTTTTTTTATCTGATTGAAAAGCTCAATACTTGAAATCAATTGATTTATAACTTTCTTTGGTTTCATTGTAAAAAAATTACCCCTAACATTGAACTTGAGTAAAAATATTTATTGATTAATTTTTTTATTATTAAAATCATACATACCTTCCATAAATGTTTACTTTTTAATGTAATACCTAGATAATTAAAAAAAAATACTATTTAATAATAATAATAAGGATTATAAAATAAAACCAAAGTTGTGTTTAAAAAATATTTGTCTTATTTTTTAAATACCTTTGAAGAATTTGAAATTTTAGATTTTTAAATTACTTGCTTGCTCTTCAAATAGAAACAGTAGGTAGAGGGGACTTTTTTGTGAGGAAATTTACACTCTATTTATTTTTCGGCTCAGAAATATAGGTATAGGGAATTGAGGGACAAAAACATGGGTTTTTCAAATTGAGTATACATAGTATAATATTTTTGCCAAGTTTAAAAGGCATTTTATAAGAAAATAAAAAATACAACCTTTAGGTTGCTCGAAAGCAAGGCACAGTGTATGAAACTATTTTTTTTAAATTTTTAGTTCAATTTTTTTTATCATTTGTACTATTTATTTAACAAATAATTAAAATATGCTCTGAAACAATATTTTTATTTTAAAAATAAAATCCACTGGGTAAAAAAATCTGAACTAGAACTGCAACAGTTAAATTTTAAAATTTGCTTTATTAAAATAACAGTTTTTAAAATTTTTGTACTTACATTTTGTAAGTGTATAAGGCACGCATAATTTTTTTCATTGGGTTTCATTTAACCTTTTAGAAAAGCAAGGATTCTTGCTACATTTCCAGCAAGGGAGTAGCCAGGATTTTGTTCAGGGGGGCAGGCAAGGGTAAACTATATGCATGCTACAAAAAGTTTCGACTCCACCTCCCACCCATTTTCTAGCACAATTTTTCTGGACATGCAATTTTTGAGCATAGCTCCCTCCTTTTGATTTAAAAAGTTTATTCTGAAGCCATAATTTATGTGTATCAAACATATGTTATCCTCTAGAGTTTGTTTCTTAATTTTTTTATATTCTTGTCACAAATTTTAAATGTATTTTTCCCTCTCGATGTCTTCGGCATCATTGCATTTATTTTTTAAAACATTTGCCTAAATGCCTAAAAATGTGTTATTGGCACCTGTAAAAGAATAGGTAAAAGAGCATTTTCTTTTAAAAACAGGTCTAGTATTCCTATAACTATAATATAATTATTATAATAATAATATACCTAATTAATCTTTTACAAAGAATTAAATAAAATTTCCACCAATTTCAACAAAATTTCTTTGTTCCTTTCAGAGGCTTTAAGCCGTAATTTTGGTTTTTCATACCTTCTAATGCAAATTTACTTATACCATAATACATGGCAATCCTCTTCAAACCAAGTTTTTGTCAATAATAAGGTATAAATGTAATTATGTGTATACCTATTTAATAATACATTTTAAAAATGTAACTTTACTGTCATTTAAAATTTGCTATGTTGCCAAATTGGTTCGAACTGAAATCAGTTGATATAAATAAATCAACCTTTCTGCATACGGTCGATCTATTAGAGTGTTTAAAAAGATCGACTATTTTTTTTATTTTAAAAATTATATCGAAACTTTTGTTCAGAATGTGGAAAAAATTATCCTGTTATAATTTGACCACTTGAGTATTAATACTAAGATACGCGAAAATTTTAGCTACTATATTTTGAGTTACCAGTTCTACCAAATATATATTTCAAGGTGACATTACTAATAAAATAATAGTATATTACACTACAAGGGCAGAAAGTGTGAGATTCCTGCACTGCGCGCCATGATGCCCGAGGCGAAGCCGAGGGCATCATGGCGCGCAGTTCAGGGCTCTCACACTTTCTGCCCGTGTAGTGTATACTATTTTTCTTGCTACCCCGCAGAAAATACGGGAAAAAATTAAATGTATATATAAAAAACTTGTGTCAAAATTAAAATCTGACGTTTAATTTAATTCTGACGTTTACATTCAAAATCAATCAAACTGTAGCGTTGTCATGGTAATTCAGCGGTGCCAATACAGTAAAAATAAAAGGTTGTATTTTAATTAACAAATTACTACTTTATAACAAATAAAAGTACCATTAAACACTTAAAACAACATAAAAAGTAAAAAAGTAAAAACATAAATTGTTTATTTGTTGTTATAATTGCAAAATTATGGTTTAAAACTGTCATATTTTTGTGTTTCTCATGTTGGCAGTATGAAATTTGAATGTTAAGCACACGACTAAAAAATTTTTACTCCCGCTATTAGAGTGTGCGCGTATAGCTTGACCAATGCAAGAAACGTAAACTTTCTGCCGTGAAATCGGGGACCAAACAACGTATTTTGAGTCGAGGTAGTAAGAAAAAAATATTATCAGACATGGTAGGTAACTATTAAGAAATTTTGAATAAAAATATAATATATTAAGTGACATTATGAGCAAGGTTATGTTTTAAGGAATACTTGCACGATGTAAGTTAGCAATAAAAATTAAGCAACACTTTTTAATAATTGTAAATTATTAGGTAGTTATTAAATTTATGTGTGCAATAACTTTTTTATTCAGGAAAAGTCGGTCAAAATAAATCACATTGCTTTTAAATATTTTCTTTTAAATCAACATTATGATACAATTTTGCAAACACTACAAATATAATTAATTACTTTTTGACTAAATATCTATTCTGAAACATGGCCGTAGTTATTGTCCACAGACTAATTGCTCTTATGACATAATAATAGTTTTATTGCCCTCAAAATGCGTTTTGTTCGAGGCAAGGCACGAACCAGTGAAAGTGAAAAATTTTCACGTGACCACCTGTTCGATCGAGCCACTTTTGAGTGAATTGCAAGAAGTGGTTCACACTTATTATTCAACAATTTAGGTTGGTAGACCTTGCTAAGATCAGATTATGGATTTGTAATGTTTCATACTGCTTCCTTGTTTTACAAAAATCGGTTTTAAATTAACCATGTTTATCTTCTTTAAAAAGCAATTACTTTATATATATGTATGTATATTTTTTAATTATGCACTTAAAAACAATTGCCAGGAAGCTTTTAATGTGGTGAAATTTAAATTACAATGAAAAAAATTTCTTTAGAGAAATGGTGAAATGTCATTCTAAATTGCTTACGGAAATAACAGGAAAATTGCAATCAATACTATTAACGGCAACATCGCTTATTGAAACCCCGCAACTTTTGTTCGAATTGTCTAACCACCGCTACGGAGCTAATTTGCCTCAACCCATAGCATTGTACAATAAATATTTATTTCTCGCACCATTTTTAAAAATTTTAGTGCATTGAACTTAAATTATAGAATATTTTTTTATATAATGTAAGTTAAATCATTTGCTTAACCGGATATACATAATTTAATTTATGTTGAATTCAGTTTAATTTTTTTTCTTCAAAGAGAAATTTAAACCCATTTTAGAAAACTATAAGTAAATAAATTATTATGTTCCTGGGTTAAAGCTTTTAATAAACTAATGAAAAAGTCTAAGGTCATTAAATCGCAGGATCTTGGTGGCCACCACTTACATTCTTTTCCTTTAAGTGTGTATCTATTACTTGATCACAAACTTATTATTAAACCTCAAATTATTGTAAAACATTCTGTAATATAGAAATTACTAGTTGTCTAAGGTCACTGATTGCATTGATGATGACTAACTAGCTAAGATGATGCCACGGCACGATTTTTAAATTAGAGACTCGTGTTTCATTGTTTGTTAATATTTTGTTGTTAAGTTGGTAGGCTCGTTTCATCTCGAGGCATTTTTTCTTCAATGAAAATTGTCAGTTGTTGTACTAATCATTTACTATTGTGTTTTTGGGTTCAAGGCTTAACAAATCGCTTACGGAAGATTGTATCTCTATTTCTTAATTAATAGTAACGCTTAATACTCCTCCAGCAGTCATTTCGGTAACGCCTAGTTTATATTCTTAATATTTACGTTGCTGGTATTAAATAAACTTTTTTATTATTTTAGATACCACGGCCCAGGGGAAAGCTTAGGACAGCCCTGTTTATATGTTTAGTGATAGTATTAGTAAATCTAGCATCAAGTGAAAGAGGTAGGTAATCTAAAAATATTGCAAAACACATTTTGTCAATAAAGTAACGGACATTAATTGCTCTAAAAGATACCAACGAAATACCAATTCCTCCTCTTCTTCTTCATCATATTCTTCTTCATCTTCTTCTTCCTCCTTCTCATCTTCTTTATTTCGAGAGAACTTAAAAAAGAACCAATTTAAAAAAAACACCAAACTTTTTATTTTTTTCAGCATCAAGACGTAGACTGCGTAGACCGGTTACAGAAAAAAGTGTATCAGTGTCCAAAGATCAAGAAGTGTCATCGAGTGTGAACAAATTTCGGGTGAGGACTAGAGCAGGTCACAGAAAAAATTCGGACAACGCTTTATCAGCGAACACAAAGAAGGAAAATAAGGATGAAGGTTACAAAGTCGTTTGTTACTACACCAATTGGTCCCAGTACAGGACGAAAATCGCCAAGTTCACACCGGAAGATATTCTTCCAGATTTATGTACCCACATCATTTTCGCTTTCGGTTGGTTGAAGAAAGGAAAATTGTCATCATTCGAGAGCAACGATGAGACCAAAGACGGAAAAGTTGGATTGTACGAAAGGATACAAAAGTTGAAGAAAGGAAACCCCAAGTTGAAGACGTTACTCGCCATTGGTAATTTTTGAAAAATTAAAGGTTATAAAATCAAACACTTTTTAATTTTAACAGGTGGTTGGTCATTTGGAACGCAGAAATTCAAAGATATGTCAGCTACAAGATACAGTCGCCAGACCTTTATTTACAGCGCCATTCCATTTTTGAGGCAGAGAGGTTTCGATGGTTTGGATTTGGATTGGGAGTACCCCAAAGGCTCTGCAGACAAGAAAAACTATGTCCATCTTCTTAAAGGTAAGAAGGTATTTTACTGGTACCTGATTACGTCTAGGAACCTCCGTTTGTTTAATTATAATTATAAGACTAAATTTATCAAACAAGCTGCAGTTTAGCAATCTAGGTTAAAGAAAGTAATGAAAATATTTGCACCCATTTAAATAAAATTGTTTTCATGAGTATGTAAGTCTACAATTGACTAATTGAAATAAACATATTTAACATAATTTTGCAATATAAACCACTTTAAATGACAGTTGTGCAATTCGGCTCAGCAACTTTGTAAACTTCAACAATTTAGTTGCAAAACTAACGAAAACAATGTTTAAATGTTATTAACGGTGTGAATATGACCTGCAATGTTTTTTGTTTACTAACATTACGAAATAAAGTTAATGCAAACACAATGAACCATTAAAATTCCAAAATTCTTAACTAGCCGCCTGACCATGAAATAATGACATTCTTTAGTAAAAAAACTTGTACGACAAATATTAATAGTGTATTTTTTGTGTAATGGAGGAATTAATTACCTGGAAACATCAGTCTGCATAAAATTTATAATTCAAATAAAATATATGCTATTTGGAGGTCATTTCTAAAAAATACCTTGGATATAAATTTTGGTTATTTCTAGAATGTTTGAATTAAATTGTCATTATGTGACCTTTAGAGGAAAAGATCTAACAAATGCAAATACACATCTTGAATTTTCTCTTTTGTTACAGAACTCCGCGAAGCCTTCGAAGCCGAAGCCCAAGAAATCAAGAAGCCCACTCTTCTCCTAACAGCCGCAGTCCCAGTGGGCCCGGATAACATCAAAGCCGGATATGACGTGCCTGCAGTAGCCTCCTATCTAGATTTCATCAACCTCATGGCCTACGATTTCCACGGCAAGTGGGAGAGAGAAACAGGCCATAATGCCCCTCTATACTCGCCGAATAGCGACAGCCAATACCAGAAGCAATTAAATGTGGAACACGCTGCTAACCTGTGGGTTAAACTGGGGGCTCCCAAGGAGAAAATGGTGATCGGTATGCCCACGTATGGAAGATCTTTCACGTTGCAAAACGCGAATAAGTTTGGGGTACACTCTGCTGCCTCCGGGGGTGGTAAAGAAGGTGTCTACACCAAGGAAGGAGGTTTTTTGGCCTACTATGAAGTACGTATTTATTAATAATGTTTTTTTCTATGTATATACTACGTTTGGTTACCTAGATCTGCGAAAAACTCCAAAATGGCGCCTCATACGTTTGGGATGAAGAAATGAAAGTGCCATACGCTATAGACGGTGATCAATGGATAGGTTTCGATGATGAAAAGTCCATTAGATACAAGATGAAGTGGATTAAGGAAAACAGTTTTGGTGGTGCCATGGTGTGGACAATTGATATGGACGACTTTACTGGAACAGTGTGTGGGGGAGAGGTCAAATATCCACTCATAGGAGCCATGAGGTATATACCATAAATCCTGTAATTTCTTTTGTTAACATTGAAATATTCAGGGAAGAACTCAGAGGAATCTCCAGAGGTAAAGACGTGAAGGACATTGATTGGCTTACCGTGGCTGGAAGTCCTGAAGTTGAAGAAGAAGAAGAAATCGAAGAATCCGAAGAAGATGAAGAGGAAGAGAAACCAAAACCAGTAAAATCCGAAGTATCAAAGAGAGTCAAGAAACCAAACAGAAAGATATCTAAGGGGAGAAAGAGCAACAAAAAAGGTAATATTTACGATTATAGTTTTTGTGACGTGGAATGAGAAAATCAAAGCCTATCACTACACTTTTAAGCAATAATTCTATTTCTGTTCAGTTCGCAAGCCACAAGTGTTCTGCTACATCACAAGCTGGTCTCAAAAACGCCCAGGTGCTGGAAAATTCTTACCAGAAGATATAAACCCATCCCTATGCACTCACATTATCTACGCCTTTGCCACCATCAAAGACCACAAATTGGTTGAGGCTAATGAGGATAAAGACCCGGAAATGTACGAACGAGTAATCGAGTTGAGAGAAAAGAACCCCGACTTGAAGGTATGCGTTTTGATGATTGAGGCAATCTAATATAACGAATATTTATTTCAGATTCTACTAGCAATTGGTGGCTGGGCCTTTGGATCATCTCCATTCAAAGAACTTACTGGAAACACCTTCAGAATGAATCAATTTGTGTATGAAGCCATAGAATTTTTAAGAGAATACCAATTCAATGGATTAGATGTAGATTGGGAGTACCCCAGAGGAGCTGACGATAGAGTAGCTTATGTGAGCCTACTTAAAGAGTTGAGACTGGCTTTTGAAGGGGAAGGTATGATATCATACATTGTAGTTAATTTCATTATAACATTTTTTCTCTAGCAAAAAGCAGTGGACAACCACGTCTCCTTCTAACAGCCGCTGTCCCAGCTAGCTTCGAAGCCATAGCTGCAGGTTATGATGTACCAGAAATTTCTAAATACCTTGATTTCATCAATGTTATGACGTATGATTTCCATGGTCAATGGGAAAGAACTGTTGGACACAATTCTCCTCTTTTCCCTCTTGAAAGTGCTACTAAATACCAGAAGAAACTCACAGTGGATTACTCTGCTAGAGAATGGGTCAAACAAGGAGCCCCGAAAGAAAAGTTGATGATTGGTATGCCAACATATGGAAGAAGCTTTGAACTAGTAAACACAACTCAGTTTGATATTGGTGCACCAGCTAGCGGGGGTGGTATACCAGGAAGATACACCAATGAGTCTGGATTCATGAGCTTCTACGAAATTTGCGACTTTTTACATGAAGACAACACAACGTTGGTGTGGGATAACGAACAACAAGTGCCTTTCGCTTACAGAGAGAACCAGTGGGTTGGTTTTGACGATGAGAGAAGCTTGAAAACCAAGGTAAATACAATCTTGCAATTATTCAACAATTCAATAAGGAAATTTAACTTTTTCAGATCGCTTGGTTGAAAGAAGAAGGTTTTGGTGGCATCATGATCTGGTCCATAGATATGGACGACTTCAGAGGATCCTGTGGAAGTGGCAAGTATCCTTTGATAAACGCCATGAGGCAAGAATTGGATGGGTATAAAGTAAAATTGGAATATGATGGGCCATATGAAACTAATATTGAAAACGGCAGATACACTACCAAAGATCGTAAGTAACAAGTTTAAATTAAATTCATTGTAGTATATCATAGTAGAGGTAGATGTTGTTTATCATTATAATCATATCATCAGTAGTACTAGGTGTAAAGTAGTGTAGTGCATCATTTTTCATCAATTATGTTTCGTGTATACATTTATTTTGATTAACTAACATGAAGTCAAAAATTTGTTTAAAAATCGAAACAAAATTTTGCAACTTTCGACATAATATTAAATAAAAGTGTTGTTCAACAATCAACAGTACCTAGGTAAGCAATATATTTAGTTATATTGTGAAGGGTGGTAACTTAATCAATAACTTTATTCGGTGATTGATTTCTTGAGTGATCTAAGAAATATGTATCAACTTTGATATGATCAAACTGTATAATTTTGGGTGCTTGTCCATGGGTGGAAGTAAACTGCACATTCATCTTTTCATTGTCCCTCAACCCCGCCTTAATGACGTCGTTTTTAGCCAACATAGTGACATGCGAGGAGGAAGAAGGCCACATCAGCTACCATGCCGACAAAAACGACTGCAAAATGTACTGGATGTGCGAGGGGGAGCGCAAACACCACATGCCTTGTCCGGTTAACCTTGTTTTCAACCCGGATCAGAACGTTTGTGATTGGCCAGAGAACGTAGCCGCTTGTTCGGCATACACCCAAGCTCCACCACCGAGTAGATAAAGAAAATAATTGATTTGTTGAAAAAATGTTTTTTAGAGGTGTTCCAAATCCAGTAAACTAAGTGATTTATTTGGTTTACTGGATAAAGTTATAATTTTGTTAAATTTACAAATTCAAATGAGGTTATATTATTTTTATAATTTGTATATAGAAAGAACTTTTTCTTAAAAAATGTTATTTTTTCATTGACTGACACGTTTTCTCTTCTTCTTCCTCTTCTTTAATTAACCCAACACTGCCATATTGTAATTTTTGTTTTTTTTTCAATATTCTGATTTTCCTAGTAATATTTCTTTATGATTAATTATATAAAAGCCCCACATATTTATAAACCCTATGTTAAGTTTAGGATAGATCGATATTTTTCGCGATATGGTATACTAGATGTATATTTTGTATTATTTTATATAATATTTAAGGTTTATTATTGTAAATATCGAAATAAATTAATAATTAAACTGTGTATTTTATTTTTCGCGTGTAGGGCTGTTAGTATGCAACCCACAATACAATTTGTAGAATCATTTAGGATTTATAACACAGAGTGTAACCCCCCTGACACAAGATGTATAGTTAAGGTTAGATACATATATATCTGTCACTGACATAGAAATTGGGTGGGGAGAATGCTACCTTTGTTAGCAAAAATAATGATGAGTAATTGTAGCTATGTTTAAGATCAATTAATAACTCTCAGTTTTAAAAGTCTTGCACCACCAAGTATAATATAAAACTATTAATATTTATTGAATTCCAGTAGTATAAATATTGACTTGTGAATGTTTTCGTTATGTTAAAGCCGAAGAAGTAAATCCGTTTCGCAATCTTAAACATAATACGCAGTTTTGTACGTGTCGCTTAACAATTAATAGTGTTAAAAATCCTCTTAAAATGCTTAGTGCTCAATTAAATTAACTTTTGCAAATAATCTTTCTAATAATAATAATAATAATATAATAATAATATTTATTTATTTCCATGGAACATACATAAATGTGTTGAAATAGTCAAAAAACTAAACCTAAAAGCTAAAAACTAAAAATTTACAAACAAACATTAAGTAAGAAACTCTGATAATGTATACAAACATTTAGATGTTAAAAGCAATTATAATTCATATTTAAAAGTATTAATTTTAGAAATTGTTTTAATATTGTGAGGTAGCAAGTTAAAGGCTCTAGGACCCATAATATCTGGAGTTCTTTCTCTTAAGTCGAACATTTAAACCTAATTTAGGTAGTCGGTAGTTTTGGTTATGTCTGGTATTAAAATTGTGATAATCGCAATTTTTCGAAAAGTTGTTTTTATTATTGAAAACATACATACATAATTCAAATACATAGAGACTGGCCAAAGTGACTATATTATATTCCCTAAATACTTTTTTACAAGTATGTTTGTTTGAGAGTCCAAAAATGCAACGTATAATTCGTTTTTGAGAAGGTCTTTGAAGAAGGTCTGTCACATTCACGAATAGCTGACAGATTAGGCTGTTACCATAGTACGGTTACTCGAACCATTCAAAGGCATAATGAGACGGGTTCTGTGGAAAGTAGACATAGAAGGGTTACACGAAAAAGGGAAGGCCGATATTTAAGTCAAGTAACCAGGAGAAACAGGTCCATCACGGACAGCAGTATTCGAAGGCAGTACCAGGCTTCATACCACCAACTTATTTCTAATGCCACCATCAGAAGACGCATCATTTCATCGGGTTTTCTTTGTGGAAGACCTTCATGAGTGTCCAGGTTAATGCCTAGACATAGACAGTCGCGGTTAGAATGGGCTCAAGATCACCAAAACTGGTTATTGCCTCAATGGTCAAATGTTCTGTTGTCGGATGAAACAAAGATTGGATTGGTCGTGCCTAGAGAGAACACACCAGCGACTTGCTTTTGCCAGGAAAGTGGTACCATTTGAAGGCGGAAGTGTTATTTTTTGGGGTGAAATCATGTATGGAGGAAAAATTTAACTGGTTCATGTTCCTGGGACTATGACTGGACAAATGTACATGGATTTAATCATTCGGCCTATTATTCAACCAATTCGAGTCGAAGTAGGTCCCAATTTCATCTTTATGGATGTCAATGCCCATCCACATCGAACTAGAGCTGTCCTAGAGAATCTGCGGGAGGGCGAAATTGACAGAATGAATTGGCAACCTCTTTCTACGGACATGAGTACCATTGAACACGTCTGAGATTATTTATCCAGATTGATTCGTAACCGTTTGAACCATCCTATGAATGTTCAAGAGCTTATTGTTGAAGCTGTTGAGGAATGGAATAAAATTCCTTAAAATTACCTAAATAACCTTATATGAGGCATGCCCAGACGTGTTCATGCATTGTTACAAAGCAGGGATGGCATTACAAGGTACTAAAAATCTTCTAATTGGGTAAGTATCAACAAACTTATAGAAAGAGGATAGTTTGTTACTATTAAATGCGCTAACTTCTAGATGGAATTACAAATTGGTGCAGACTTTTAAAACTGAGTGTACCTATATGTCAAAATATATTTAAATATTAAACTTTTTGTTTTGTTTAGCAAATGAAGTGACATGTTCGGAACAAGACGGTCACATTAGCTACCATCCAGACAAAGTGGACTGCAAGATGTATTACATGTGCGAAGGGGAGCGGAAACACCACATGCCATGCCCGGCAAATTTGGTTTTCAACCCAAACGAAAACGTGTGTGATTGGCCGGAAAATGTAGAGAGTTGCTCGCAGTTTACACCGGCGCCACCTACCGACCGATAGAGCAATTAGAAATAACTTAATTGAAAGAAAACTCGCCTTTTTACGAAAATTGGATAATGAAACCTCCTTATTCGTTCAATGGTTTATTTAGCATGCCTTTGTTTAAAAACTCAAAATTGCCATAACGGTTTATTTAAATTTAACTAAATTGTATATTTATATATCGCCTAAGTATAAGAAATAAACTAGTTTTAGTTTGTATTTATATTATGTACCTAAAATTTTAAAACAATTTTTACAATTTTGTATGATATTTTGCTGTTTTAATTTTTTAAAGCATTATCAAATTGTAAATAATATTATACTTATTTTTAAATACATTTACTTAAATCTTTGTTACCTATATCTACAATATTTTATTCTGTGTATTTTATTTAATCTTTGTTTTGTCGATATAACGTATTTACAGTCGAGTATATACAGGATGATCCACAACTCTCATGCCATATTTCGAGGCAAAATTATTATTTCGATTTATGGTTTGACACACAAGAAAAATTGGACAAAAATATGGTCATTGTTATATAGACCCTAAAATCTCTGTTATTTGGAGCCAACAATTTGTTCTAGCCGCAGAAAAATCGAAATAATCAAAAAAATAATGTAAAAAAATAGGTATAATTAATAAAATCAGTATCATAGATATATAATCTAGTATTATCAATATTAATATTAATAACAGCACATTTTCAAATACTTTTTCTCATAGGTACAAAAAATTATACATTGAATACATTATAATTATTCTCTAAATACTACCCTTATATCATTACATATGGTAATACTTAATTATTAATAAATAACAGCTTTATAAAAAGCTGAAATCTCGACTGAAAGAAGTCATAAAAATTGAAAATGTGCTGTAATCAAGTTCATGAAATTGTAATACTGAAAAATAGCCTGCAAATTCTAAAAAATAGATTTGTATGGCCTTTAAAATCTGATGAGCTGAATCCACCTCGAAAATTTTACTATGTTGCCACTTTTATGGCCGTTTTTTCTATGATATGGTTGAATGGAAGTTTTTTCCACCTTATTTCGCAATTGAGAAGTACATTTGTTTTACTTTATATTTCACTTATTACAGAATATTTTTTTTAGAAAGAAATTACGAAAATGTCGATATGGACTCGGCCAGTGTTCTAGGGCTAGTAGGGACGTATATTTTTAATTTTTTCTTTGTTATCAACGTCAAAAAAATAAGCAGGGTCTATCAGAAACTTTCCGACTTTAAAACTTATGGCAAACCACCAAATTTTGAGGAGGATGACAAAAAATTGAACCACCACTCAAAATTGCATGGTATTTATATGACTGTTTGTTTGGTGATTTTAGCCAGTGTCGCGTTTATTGAAGTTGGTAAATGTAAAAATATGAAGATGGAAAAACAAGTTTGCGGTATTTTTATAGAGCCCTATCTGATTTTTGATTATACAGCATTACCAGGTAAGGTTGTCCATACTGAGTTTGCAACCACTATCTTCAAAATCTATTTTAGCACATAAAATAATTCTATATTGTTTAAAAGTACTGGCTATATACTTGTCGTATCAAACATCAGCATTTATATCTTTTACTATAATGGAAACTATAGATCATATAATCATCAGATTGAAGCATGTTAAAACCCATTTTCTCGAGGCTTTATCAGATAAAAATACTACGGAATACCAACGACAAAAGTTAAATTTTTCTATTGGTTATCATGGCTATGTTATTGAGTTAGAAACTTTAGGGTTTTTTTTGTGAAGTAATTTGGTTGATTATGTTTTTTTTAGTTTGTCTGAAGAGTTTGATAAGTGCAGTAGAAAATGTTTGTTTATTCACCTGCTATTAACAGGGGCTATATTGGGGTTCATGGGGTATACTTTGACCAAGGTACTAGATAAAGTTGTACTCTTTTTAAACACTATATTATTTTCTTTAAGTCTTTCTCTGTTGATGCTGTAATTCTTTTCATCGGTTGGTATATTTCCCTCGTAATAGTGTGCAGTGGGGGTCAAAGGGTAATGGATGAAGTATTATAACAAAAAAAATATTGCGTTTTTTTACTTAATGAATATTTTTTTAGAGTGTTTCTTTATCAAATGCAATTTATAATACTCCATGGTATAACCTGGATGTTAAAATACAGAGGGATTTAATTTTGGTGATCAAAAGAAGTCAGAAGCCTATTTACCTTAGGAGCGGCCCTACTGGAATTTTATCATACGCTATGGTTTTAGCAGTAAGTTAAAAAAAAATTTAATTAACTGGATAACTTATGAGGAATAATTTAATTGGAGAAAAGTGAAAAAAGGTCACAAAACCACCTATATTATATTATTTTTATAAAAAAAGACGAAATTGGTGTTAAACTGACAGAAAAATCACATTTTTTTACTATATTGAATTATTGATATTTTAAAATATTAAAATAACTTCAAAATATGATAATTATCATATCAGGTATTTTAATATTTTAAAATATCAATAATTCAATATAGTAAAAAATGTTATTTTTAAGTTAAGAAAATATTTTTATCCTTTGGTTGTTTTTATTACTATAATTGCAAAATATTATCACAGGTACAAGGTAGATTCCCGTTAGAATTTCTAACTTGGGAATCTATCGGTGTTAAAATCTCAAATTTGTCTTTGTAAATCAAAATGTATCCCTTAAAAGTAGACAATC